CATTTTCTACATTTGTTAGTCACCCAAATAATAATTCCAGACATATCCACATACACCACAATCTCAGCAATATTTCGCCCACAATATTCAAACAATGAGCATTACTCCGAAAAAGAATGCTAAGAGACTCAATGTTTCATTATATTGAGTCGGTTGAACTTGACCACTCACAAGAGTTGGGATTAATTTTGTACATGAAAGTCGAGAATGCCACTCCCAATTATCCTACCTCTCCAAAATAGAATGATTTCTTCCTCTGGAATTGCCACCTGCGATCGGCACCATCCAGCCTCGTCCTTCTTTATCACCCTGCTTTGATGGCTTCGTGCTCGCTCATTGTGTCTTCAAAGCTCCACAACTCGTCTGGCATAGCTTGTCGAGACTCGGGTTATTTCGTTGTTTCCTCGACAAGAATTCAAAGAGATATCATTATCCATATTATATTCACATCATCCATTTTTGCAATTCTCCACGCAAGAAAAACAAGAGGTCAAATAGAAATACCGCCATCTCCTCGATTTAAGACATGCTCGAGCAATGATATGCTTAAAAAATAATGAGTACTCAATTCAAACACAATCACAGGATATCCGCAATCCGAAACCACGACCCGCATTTATTTTCAATCAAATAAAATCTCCTCGAATAAATCAAATAATATCTCCACGAGCAAATCAAATAATTCCACGATCAAATCGAATACCAACACGAACAAATCAAATATCCTAAGGAATAAAACACATAGTTCTCCATAAATACTCCAAATAATATCTCCTCGACCAAATCAAATAATATCGACGAATAAATCACATAATCTCCTCGAGTAAATCAAATTATGCTCCACAAATAAATCCAATAATATTCCACCAATAAATCAAATAGGCTCCATGGATAAATCAAACAATTTTGCCCGAGCAAATCGAATATATTCTCCACGAATAAACTAAATAAACTCCATGAATATATCAAATATTCTCCACGAATATATCAATAAACTCCACGAATATATCAAATAAACTCCATGAATATATAAAATATTCTCCTCAAATAACTCAAATAATATCCAATTTTCACCCATTGAAAAATCCTCAAGCCTCCACATTTTCCAATTTAAATCAAACAATTTCTCCAATTTCACCAATTTAAAAATCCCTTGAGTCCATAATTTAAAAGAGCGTCATACCTTCATCACGATAATGCTACCTAAATTTACCTTCCCGACCGCGTTAAATCCTCCTGAATTAGTCTTGGGCATGAATTGGGGCTATTGGACTAAGCTGGTAGCACCCTGGGCCGCTTTGGAGGATTTTTTACACCAAATGGGCCTCATATAAGGCGTTGGACCGCGGTTGGACGCCAAATGGGCCGCTGGACACCGCAAGTGGGCCGTGCATAGGGAAGCTGGGGAATTGGGCTGGCTGCGGGCCACACGCGGGCTAGGCGCGGGCCTCGCACTGGCTGCAAACATTGCTGAAGGACGCGGGCTGGACGGGCTCCTCGCGGGCCATAAACTGTGAAGTGCCCGGGCTGCCACGGGCTGCCGCGGCACGCGTGATTTTCCACTCCTTTGGGCTGGCGCGAAACACTGGGCTTATCTCCTGCTGTGGAAGACCAGGCCTCGCCATCTCTCGGGCCTCCCTCTTGAGCTGCAAACACTGGGCCTTGTCTCCAGGCCACTCATCGTTGGGCCACGCGCAGTGAGCAGACCCACGCCATGGCCGAGCTGCGAGCACGACAACTGCTACTTCGCTGGAAAGATTTCGCCGGTCAATTCTCGTCGTATTCGGTGAAAGGGACCAACCGTGTAGGCGCCCCGGCGAGGAGAATCCGGTGGTATCCTCGGTTTGAAGCGATTCGCCGGAAATCGCCGGCAAATTCGACAAGATGACCAGAGTTGACAAAAAATCCTTAGATCCAAAAACTTTGACCGGCAAATCGACAGTCTTTCCGGTGGAATTTTTGCTTGAAAATTTAAGGGTAGAACGAGCACGATAAGAGCTTTGTGATGATGTAAAGATCTTCTCGATCGGAGGATTCTTCGTTGTGGCCGGCGGCGGCGCCGGCAGAGGTCACATGCTGGAGACTCGTCTCGACGAGAGGATTCCAATGGTGCTCCCGGATTTTTCATAGCCCTCGCGGATCGTCGGAAAAACGCATTTGAAGGTCGAATGTTGACCAAAATTCCTTAGATCCAAAAAGTTTGACCGACCAAATCGTAGGCCTTCCCAGATGAATTTTCGCACGATACTTTAAGGAGAGATTCACCTCGACGAGATCTACCCGTTGGCATAATCAATTTTACGATCCGAGCACTTTGGCCGACTAAGTCGAAGGAGAATTTTCATGATTTTTCGATCGGAACTCCATTTGGCTTTTCGAACGGGGTCCTACAGACGGTGCCAATGAAGTGAGTAAGATTTCACTTGGGCTCCTTTGACTCAGACGGTCTCCGTACCTGCAAGAACCCAACGCCGGGAGGGGTCCTGGCGTCGGCCTCCGATGCTCAAGTCAGTAAGACTACAAATCTCAAGTGTATAGTAATGAATGTAGAGAGAATGAGAGAATGGGTTACCTTAGCCCCCTTTTATAGGGGGAGTGTACCTTATGGCCTCAGTTGGGCTTGTCCCATAACACCATGCCACGTGTCTTAGCCATGTGTAGGCTTATTCTTCAATATATTTCCTTTTTATCCATTAAGACTGGTCTAGTATATAATATCATATATCACACTCGACTTAGGCTCGCCGAGTTCAGTCTACCCGGCCTCACGCGTCTCGGGCGCCTCTTCTCTTCAAAATGCACACGCTCGCCTCGTCTATTTATAGGCCTCAGCAATGCATCCCTTTACCCAACTGTTGGGTAACCGTCAGGCAACCGCCTGGCAGTTACAACAGCCCATGATGTACGTGCTCGCGTCTTGTGACGCCAACTCAGCTTTAGCAACTAACGGATGCCAACCGCCGTGCCTATCTTATCCGACATCCCATGTAGATCAGAAACTGCTTCGGTCACGTGTCACTAGAAACTGTCCAGCCACATGCCTCGATCTCCTTTGATCCCACTTGGCTTTTTATCTCGAAGGGATAAGACGACCCAGGCCACCCTGGACCAATAAATCTCCTGGTCCACGTGATGCCTACGCGCTCCATTCAAATCCAAACCGTTTCCGCCAACGGTTTAGACGCAGTGCCTACACTCGCGCGTCCATCGTAATGCTTCGTCCGAATCACTCTCGGCCCCGAACAAGCCTATGTCCAACCATGTCTCGTTTAGCCAACGTGCCCACAAGGCCATGCACAACCTGCGGCAACCGTTGCCCGGCCGATTGCTCAACTTGTACTCGACCCCATAATCGAGTATTATCTGAAGCCATAATTCGAACCACAAGATGTGCGTCGAGACCCCACACTAGGTCTCAACCCAACCGCACGTAATCCGACCAACACTTGGACATTAATAGCTGAGTATCACACACATCCTCGTCGCCCCACGAAGACCCGACTGAATACCGCATCCAGCCCAAAGGAAGCCCCAACACTCGACCCTTCGACTTAGCATGCCCGCTAAGATACTCCGAGACCTCGTACATTGGTGCCTTTCTTCACTATTCGGCACTACATCTCTCAATACCGCGTCTTTTCGTACCTGGATACGCGTAAGGATCGCACGCCCAGCCGACGTCACACTTGGGGGTGTAACACACAGGCTGGAGGCCGAGTTCGAGGTCTGGTCTGCGAAGTGGATGAGGATGAGGCTGCCTTGGTTCGTTGCTTGAAGGGATGGGTCGATGGCGTAGTTGTCGGCTTTGCAAACTTCGGCGCGACCCGTCCTGACGATATGCGCTTGATGCCTGGTGAGCTCTTGTCCGTCTATGAAGCCTTCCCGCTGCCGACCAAGGCCATGGTGGATGAAGCTGACCCTTCCCAGATTCTGCGGGGGGCGAACGAAGATGAGGCCGGCACCTCGGGTGTCTACAAAGAGGCAGACGACGAGGCTGGCCCAGCTAAAACTGATCTGGACGGTCGCCCGGACATCTTCGATTTGTCTTCCGATCTACCAACAGATTCTTAGTTTTGCTATGCTTCATTTCCCGGCATGCATGCCGTTATGCTGACCGTATGTGGACTTTGAACAATTTATTAATCACTTTTGGTAATTACTGTTTTTGGTTGTCGATTTGGCTTGCGCTTTTGAACGCTTTGGATGCTTACGCTTGTTTTGGAAGATGTTAATCCTTTGATCTCGTAGAATTTTTTGATCTTTTTAGTTATTATCGAGTTGATTATTTATCATTGATCGGTTAGCCTTGATTTTTTTGTCTTATTACCTGGTTTTGTCATTTTTTATGCTATTACTTTTCTTGTCGAGCCGTTTGGTGAGCTCGGGTCACGTAATCGTATTTGTTATTTTACTACGTCTGCTTCAGCCTAGCCGGGCTTGCTTAATCATCCCGGTGCCTTTTATTTACTTCATTAAATTGGCGACCTTTACCTGGTAGAGTCATTTGTCCGACTCGACAGTTTTCTAGCCGGGCCGGGCTACGTTTGAGCCCGACTTCTTATCATTACTTTTTCACGTTGGCAGCTCTTTACTTGATCACCGTTTACCAGTTTGGATGGTATTTTGGCCTGACCGGGCTACCTTGCTGAGCCCGGCTTGTCAGTTTCTCAGCACATCATCACGTGGCAACTTACCTGATCGGGTCACTTGTCGGACTCAGTGGTATTTTGGCCTGACCTGGCTACTTTGTTGATCCTGGCTTATGCAGTTTCTTAGCACATAATTACGTTAATCACGCCGCTCATGACTCGATCTAAATCTAAATGGCCTAATTACTAAAAAGCTAAGAAAAAGAAAATTACATTCTCTTACATGATTCATCAAACAATTTACAAAATGACATAAATTGCGAAGTACGAATAGCCTAGACCTATTGATAGAACTTCTTGAGGAACGCCGAGTTCCATGGGTACTGATGGGGGGTGCCGTGTCCAGATGTTCTAGCGGTAGGCCCCATGTGGGAGGACCTCACTGATTTTGTAAGGGCCTTCCCACTTCGGCTTCAGGGGCCCATGGTCTGGACCTGTTACTCTTTTAAGGACGAGATCACCGACCTGGTATGGGTGCGGCTTGGCTTGAGAGTTGACGTACCTCTCGCTTCGTCTTTTGTATGCAGCGTTTCTGAGCTCGGCTTGTGACCGGTGCTCGTCTACCAGGTTGAGGTTTTCCCTCAGGGAGTTGGCAATGAACAACCCATCGTGAATGGTTGTAGAGTTAACCGTACAGTTGGTCTTGACTGATTAGTTACATTAATACACTTTGTGTATTGAACGAATCCCAGAGAGGGGAGAAGTTCGTTTTATGCTGATCTTCGTAAATGAACTAGGCCTCGATTAATTACTGCGTACTCTTAGCCCGTAAGATATAAACAGGTATGTGCATGCAGTAAATAGTACTTTGATTCACTTGAGTGAGATTCAGTTTACTGGATCAATATATACTTACTGTTTTTGGTAATAATATTGTAAATATGATGTGCTTTTAGAATATTTACATCCACCGTGTGCGTTAGTTTGATGATGTCCCCGAGATGAGCTCATGAAAGATTATTATGATAAATCTAGCTAGTGGAATTTATTCCAACATAATAATAATGTGATGAGTGGTACTAGTCTTGGTTATAGATGTCGATTAATTTAATTGTCAGTAATTAAATTAATTGATAGACATTATATCTTAAACATGGAGAGATAAATCGAGTAATTATTAATGGAGCCTCGAATATAATTTGGGAATTAAATTGATAGTTTATTCAATAATACTACTATAATGGAATGGATGTATTATTCCTTTTTAGGTTTGGTAGGCTTGGCCTATAGTCTAATCCAAATAGGAGAAGCCGAATTTAATACCTCCTTAGGTCCCTATTGTAGCCTATAAATACATCACATCTCTTGGGATTAGAAGGATAATAGAGTTTCACGTGTGATACACAATTGGGAGGATTCACGCTACCCCTTGGGTGCTCTATTTTTTCTCTTATATTCTCTTCTTTTTTCTCCAAGTAATTCCAGTAGATATATCTCCGATTTAATCGCCCACCAAGATGATCAGAGAGGATGTCGGGTCATACAACAGAAGATCTGAGATTGTCAAGCGATTTATATATATTTATACAACCCCGTAAAATATATATATTCAACCACGTAATTTATCTGTAATTTTCGGGGTTGTCTGTTCTTCACAAATGGCGAGAATTATGTCAAATGGATGTATTGGAGTTAAATAGCGATCATCCCACTACGATCAGGGACTTCCGGCGACCCTCCAGTCAATTTTTGATGACGATCGGGCAAGGTGGCTGGGTAGGCGAGCTCCGGCAAGCCGCCACCGCGCACAGGCGTGACCAACAGCCGCCAGTTCACAGCCCAGCGCACAAGCCCGTTCGCGCGCAAGCGTAAGCAGGTGGAGGAGTCTGCAACGCAGCCCAGGTGACTTCCTTTAGCGGCCCAAGTCCACGTGGAATCCCAACGCGGGAGAGGCCCAGCGGAAAAGGTGATCCAGTGCGCGGCCCGTGCGCCTCACAACCCTCAACCCGCTCCAGCCCGCGCCCCTCCCGCGTTCCATCCCGCCTTACCTCTCAGCAATGGCTCGCGAGAAGCCCGCCTTCGGCCCGCACGTTCCTGCGCCCTCCAGCCCACTTCTGAACGTCCCAGTGCTCGAAGCGCGCGGCCCAATTACTTCCCAGACGCAGCCCAACGTGCGGTCATCGGCCCTGCAGCACCCCAGCCAGCCCTGTTCGGCCCAGAACACAGCCAACTCACTCCAGCCGGCCCAGGATGCGACCAAGAGGCCCAGATCGGGTTCAAGAGCGGTCTAGCAGGTTCGGGGAGTGTCGATGAGTTCGCGATGAGTCCGGGACTGTTCGAAATAAATGTGGAACGATCCGGTGAGTCAGAAAAATAAAAAAGGCTATGCATTGAACCCTTGCTTCTAGTTCCGCTGCACTTAGGGTTTAATTCATAGATAGTCCGTGACTTGCACCTCACAGATCCCAACAACCCTTGCATCCACATTCTCACTAAACAATCATCATCATCATCACTGCTACTATTTCTGAAATTATAATCTTTATCAAGAAAATCATCCTCATCTTGCATCTCTGGTTCACTCTGATCATTTTCATTTTCAGGGACATCTAAATTCTCACCAACAAAATTCCCACTCTCATGTTTAATATTTTTACTCTCACAATCCCCATCCTTCCGACTCTCACAACCATTGTCCTTCCCACTCTCATTTTCACTTTTTTTTTTCACTCTCAGAACCATTGTCCTTCCCACTCTCATTTTCACCTTTTTCACTCTCAGAACCACTACCCTTCCCATTCTCATTTTCACTTTTTTCACTCTTAGCACCACTATCTTTCGAGAAATTTTGATAATTGACACCCAATCCGCGCGCCTCATTGAATTTGACACCAAATTCGTAAGCCTTTGCAAATTTGACACCCGACACACGAATTCGTTGCATCTGAGGGACTCCCCCCTATTTTTTTCATTTTTTCTTTTCAACTTATTATTGTTGCCTATTATTCTAGGAGATGAGACAGTTTTGCCCCTGTGAATAGTATGTATTCAATTAAGTAGTAGTAGGGAGGGGTATTTTAGTAAAAAAAAGTTAAAAAAAAAAAAAAAAAAAAAA